GGACATGCACCTGCCTGGAGTCATCTGACCCCAGTGTTCTTTCCTGCCCAGGGCAGTGGGTCAGACTCAACGATCAGCTGAGGCCTCTTCTGACCCTAATATCTATGAATCTATATTCCTGTTGTGAAAATACCAGTAAAATTCAAGATCTTGTCACAAAGACATTGTATGATATATATGGATATGATACATTTCATAAACCTAAATAGCAAGAAGTTCTTTGTTCAAATAAGCAACAGTGTTGTTCCTATTCAGTTGAGGTATAGGGCAACCTGGTCAGTATATGCAGTTGAGGTGCAGGGCAACCTGGTCCGGCTCCTCCTTGTGGAGGGCAGGGCCACACTAATCATATGCTGAGAGAGGGGATGACAGAGATAGTCTGGGTAATGTTTGTTTGGCCTTTCAGTCTGGTGAAGAAACGAGAATGATTACAAATGAGAAAGAAAAGGCACAGCTCAGCTGTGAAGTGAAGAGGAAGTTGAAATGTATTCAGTGTATTGGCTCACCGTGACTAGAAAAACAGTTGGCACTAATGGGGGGGCTGTGCACAATGAACAGTAACATCATATTCAGATGAACTGTATTAATCTATTCTTGTGGTTGGCCAGTATGAGCCAAGTGGCATTTAAGCAGCTCCATAGTTGGGTTCCTTTACTGAACACGTGCTGCTTTTGCCAGCAGTTTAATGATAGACAGTGTATTTTATGGTGTTACTTGGTATATGAATGTAAGATGAGGGGTTCCCCCTATGCTTATGGGGGGGTGGGAAACCTCATCTTCTATTCAAGTAAATACAGTACTTTCATAATAAAATACTTAAATTGGATGTAATGTTTTTTCAAGAACCCTCTAATTAATAGGATTTTAAGTGACTGCAGCTTTCATATAAGAGGTATAAAAAGATATGACCATCATTATATCCAGTGACAATTTTACTAAGATTGATTTCAAGTGCTTGTACATACCAGACTTTCCATCTTCTCGACATATTTAAGGGTTATCCTATAATCATTTGGAAGATTTCCAACCTAAACCAACAAACAAATAGTAATAAAATATTAATGTTATTAAGAAAATTGAGGCTCAGTTTAATCACATACATAAAATTTATAAAACAGCTGACAATTTCTAGAATTTACTTATTAGTTGCAAGTAACACCTGAAAACTCAGGGTTTAGGGAGCCCATATTTGGCTCTTATTTGCTTAAAAGGCAAATATCTTTCTCCATTTTTCCCAACTCTTTGTAGAACTGAACTGATCTTATTCACAATTATCATCTCTCAGCAGTATCCAAGAAGCTGATGCTGTGAAGGAGCAGAGTTAGAGAGGCAGGTTCAATTAGTTATTGCAGGAATGTCCGTACATTTTTCTATTCTCCTATCTGGAAATATCTGGAGCATATATGGGAAGCATTCTTTAATTAACTCCTAATGGTTCAAACAGGGTACACCCAAGCATAAGTCAGATCCACATTACAAATTTAAAATGATAAAAATAACCCCCATGGAAGAAAGTTAGGAGCTAAAAATAAAACATTTCAGAGGTGTTCTAAATTACTGTGAAGAAAAAAACCTAAAACGATAAAATCAGCTGATAATGTGGATACACAGATGTGATTTAGTTAGCTTAATTGTCCACATGATAATTTTTGTCATGTGGACACAGGAAAAGTGTAACATGGTAACAGGAGAGGTGTAATGTGGACAAGCGTTCAAACAGGGTACACCCAAATAGACCTTGAACGATTTGTCCCCTACAAATAACAAATATCCGTTTAAAAAAAAAATCCAACTGTAAATCTAAGAAAGCAAGCTGTTGCCTGACTTCTGCTCACTAATGCTCCCAGTCAGCAAAACACTTATGCATATATTCAACTTTGAGAATGTGCTTTGGATGCACTAAGTTAATGAGATTTAAGAGTATATTTAAGAGTTTTTCTGAACTAGTATCTACACTTTGTTCAGAACACCATCTCCAATTTTTGTGACCAAGCTATTCTATTGTGGACACTTGGGATTCAAAAGAAAAATCTGTTTCACTTGCTGCTATATCCCATAGAGCTGGATTTTTTTTTTTTTGTTTGGTAGCCTAACCAATAAATAAAATTAAGTATCAGATTGAACTGAATGATTCCTCCCTCCCCTGTCTTTTTTTTCTTTTGGCAAATAAGTATTTATTTAAAGTGTGTATGTACTCCAAATATTTCATTTGACATAAATGTAAGAGCTCTATTTGGTTTTGGAACAAAGGAAAAATTTGGGTTAACCCTTCAAAGTTTTGTTTTGCAGTTATTTCTTTTTTTTTTTTTAATATATATACATTTTTAAACAAAAATGCTACTGCAAAATAAAAAGCTGTAAGATTTAATTTAAAAAGAACTGAAATGGTCAAGGACAATATTTACCCCTAAATAAGTGGCTATATGGTTCCAACATTACATTGAGACTGGCTGCATCTGCATGTACAACTAATGCAACTGAATAAACTCCAGTGCAATTTCCTCAGAGTAAACTAATCCACACATCACAGTCTACATGTGCATTTAAGTGCAGTAATTTACTGCACTTGTGTCCAACAGGACTATCCGAAGGTGCACTAAACTGGTCTATAACAGCTTAATTGCCACACACATGCAGAAGGTGACACTTTACTGAGTAGCAAATTAGTCTACTGTGTAGTAAAGTGCACACGTGGATGCACTCACTGTATGCTGAGCTATAGAGCCTTCAAAATTGATTCTGTAATTCCTTAGATTCACAGATGTTGGGTTGGAAGGGACCTAAGTAGATCTTCAAGTCTGACCCCCTGCCCTGGGCAGGTGAGACTACTGGGCTCATATGACCCCAGCTAGGTAATTATTAAGCCTCTTCTTAAAGACCCCCAAGGTAGAAGCCAGCACCACTTCCCTTAGAAGTTGGTTCCAGATCCTAGCCACCCTGACTGTGAAGTAGTGCCTACTAATGTCCAGCCTGAACCTACTCTCAAACAGTTTTTGGCTGTTATTCCTTATTACTTTGGGAGGTGCTCGGGGGAACAGGGTCTCTCCCATTCCCCACTGGTCCCTATTGGTAAATTCATAGATGGCCACCAGGTCCTCTCTCAGCCTTCTCTTGTTGAGGCTGAACAGGTTCAGATCCCGTAGCCTCTCCTCATAGGGTCTGCACTGCTGTCCCCAGATCATACTAGTGGCCTGCCTCTGGACCCTCTCAATGCTGGCCACATCCCTCCTAAAGTGTGGCACCCAGAACTGGATGCAGTACTCCAACTGTGGGCTGACCACTGTCGCATAGAGGGGAAGGATCACCTCCTTGGCCCTGCTTGTGATGCATCTGTGGATGCATGACAAGATGCAGTTAGCCTTACTGACCACGTCCCCACATTGGTGGCCCATGTTCATTTTGGAATTGATAATGACTCCAAGATCTCTTTTTGCCACGGTGCTTTCAAGAAGGGAGTTCCCCAACCTATAGGCATGCTGCTGGTTCTTACTGCCCAAGTGCAGTACCCTGCACTTGTCAGTATTGAATTCCATCCTATTCTCATGTTGCCCACCCCTGTAACCTGTCCAGGTCCAGCTGTATCCTGTCCCTCCCTTCTAGCGTGCCCACCTCACCCCAGATCTTGGTGTTGACAGCAAATTTGAACAGGATGCTTTTCACCCCTTTGTCCAAGTCGCTAATAAATAAATTGAACAGTGCAGGCCTGAGGACTGAGCCCTAGGGGACTCCGCTGCCCACATCCCTCCAGGTCAAATATGACCTGTACACCACCACTCTCTGGGTGCAGCCCCTCAGCCAATTTGGGACCCATCTGACTGTGTAGGCTTCAGTGCCACAGTTGCCTAGCTTTTTAATGAAAATAGGGTGGGAGGCAGTGTCAAAGGCCTTCCTGAAGTCCAGAAAGACTACATCCACCGCGACACCTGCATCCAATTATTTTGTGACCTGATTGTAGAAGGCAAAGGTTGATCTGACAGGACCTGCCCCTAATGAACCCAAGCTGGTTGCCCCTGAGCATCATCTCCCCTTCTGGTCCTTCCTAGATGTGCCCCTAGATAATCTTCTCAAAGAGCTTCTCCAGGATCGAACAAGTAAAAAACAGATAATACAGCAAAAGCTTTGCTATCCGGCACCCATGGGGCCTGGGGGTGTGCCGGATAACAAAATATGCCAGTTAATTGAGAGGCCCAAACAGGCATCTTTACTGCCGTTTCTCCCTCCATGTCCAGTGTGTCACTGCACCTCCTGCCACATTGCCTCCCCTCCCATTGGCCCTGTGCAGCCTGCTATACCCCGGGCTGTGGGGGGCTTGGCAGTGCAGGCTGCTTTGCCTCAGGTGGTGGGGGGCTTGGTGAAACCAGAAGTGGGCTCTTTCACTTTCACTTTCACCTTACAAGCGGGCATGCTGGTTAATAGAGCACGCCAGCTTGTAAGGTGGCAGTTAAGGCAGCTTTTACTGTATATTTTAAGGTGCCATGGTACATGCCTCTATACATATCCTCTGACTACTTTTACTGTTTTGGACTAAACACTATGTGGATATTTCCATGTCAGTTGCCACATGTGCCATTTGATCCTAGAGTACTGACTCTTAGACCAGAATAGAAAAATACTGCTATAGTATATCTATCTTAATAATTTTTTCAAACTAAAAAACTTGGAACTTTTCTTTTCTCTTTAAACTGGTTAATTTATTCTGTATACTTGTCCACTTATTTTTTTACATCTTTTTCTTCTTTCCTATAGCAGAGCCATGTACCTCAACACATTAAAAGATAATTTAGTTTCTTTTCTGGTTTATTTGCTATGTTCATGGATTATCACTGCCCTAGCAGACTTTAAGCAGCAATGATACTGAAGATGCTGCTGGAGGTGCAATTTTTTCCATATTTAATCCACAGGGATTCAATACTTAGCAGTGTCAGCACCAGTATATTTCTTTAAGAAAGGTCACTGGAAGATTAAATATGTTCCAGATCAATGAACACTACAAGAATTGACATACATTATGTATACAATCTACTTTACTGGCATCAAAGCCTGTCAAGCACTTTTCATGCACAGTTAGGAAAATACAAGTGGGCAAGATTAGAGTCTCTGGGAACTCTAACAACTTCAAAATGAAAAGCTGGAGGTGAGAGTTCAATATTGGACATTTTTTCCCCTTTGATTGAAAAAAAAAAAAAAAACACATTAGAGAATTTGCTACTAGAAGTAGAATAGTGCTTCAAAAAGCACCTATTTTTTCCATTGACAAGAAACAGCTTTTACTAAGACTTGTTGATTTAATACCATAGACAGCATCATTTGTTGGTGTAAGTTAGCATAACTTAGGTCTCTGCTGTGACAGAAAGGGATATATGTCTGTATAAGAGGTGGTGAACACATGGCTGCACTTGCCCAAGGAAAGTCTGCAGAACTGCATCACAAGTTCCTACCCTGCCCAGGAAAGGCATATGAAACCTCCATGAAGGCCTATAATTCAGAAGCCATCAAGATGGTCTGGTATCATTGATGCCCTTACCTCTTTTTTTTCTTCACTTGGACTTCTAGGCAGGGTAAGAATGAATAAGGAGGGAAGAAAGATTCCTGTTGAGCAGGTGGCAAGGACATAGATACTACTTGAAAAAACACAGTAGAAAAAATAATGGATCTGACAAGTAGGCTGTTGCCTAAGAAAGTTTATGCTTTTCTGGACAAGTTAGTCTCCAGGGGTGTTTATAGACTTGCTCTGGGGGTGGTGGTGGTGGTTGGAGGGGACACTTTACTTAGAGCAGCTCTGAGAGCTGCTTTAAATTAAAGCACCTGGAGTGACATGTGTATCAACATCCCCACACTGCAAAATGGAGGCAGGGGTGCTTTAACTAAAGCTTGATTGATGAGCTTTAGTTAAAGCACTTCCACTGCCATTTTCAGCATGGGGATGCTGATACACGTGTCACTGGAGTCTGCTGGAGCACAGTAATTACTAAGTTCCAGCAGAATTAAGTCTGTTTTGATGCATTGTAATTGTAGCACATCAGAGCAACCTCTCTGCACATGTGTAAGTACTCTAAAAGCTGTGACCCTGTCCTACCTGCTGCTTGACTTCAGACTAACAGCTCTTTCCACAAGTAAAAAGGACTTACAGGAAAGGGGCAAACCTTGTACTCAAATGTTACAACCTTTAAAAAAGTGTCAGTCCCCTGTAACACCACACATTGGTCTATTTATAGATCAAGATATATAAAATAAAAACCTGTGATGTCTTGCTAAGTACCAGGCTGGCTGGGCAGGAGACTACAAAGACCTAAAAAATCCCTCCAAACTTGCTTTTTGTCATTGTAACAAACATACAGCTTTATTCAATTTACAAGGATTCTGTGTGTTGTGACTGGACTTCTTAACACTTCTCTCATTTACACATGTCTGCACCAGCCCTTCAAAATCAAAGGAAAACAAGCTGCCCATCTGTCTCAGAAACTGCCTGTTGTCTAGCAGGGAATTACTTGGGCCAATTTAGTTCTAGTAGTTGGATTCAACATAATTTGTAGAAAAAGAGAGATTTAACCCTATTATTAAACTAGTACATTAATAACTTTGTGTTCAGTAGTAGCATTGCTTTAGGCAAGGAGGTCAAGGTTTAAATTAATCCAAGAATATGAATGTTTTCCATCTTCAAAATCATACTGGAAAGCTAGAGTGATATGTATGACATATTACTATATATGTTTTTAATTTATAATATAGAGTTTCTTGGCTAATTTTTAAAAATAACTTATTTTGAACTTTTCTTTGCAAGCAACTGACCCATAAATTTATGAAATGTATACTTAAATGTAACAAAACAGACTAGCTCTCATACTGGTATGATTAACCATGAAAAATTGAAAGGAAATTCCAGAAGTATTCAAACAATTTTAAAGCTGTAACACAGGAAATTGAAGATGTAGGCTGACTAATAATCCTGGTCCATGTAAAAATCACTTTTGCAATTAAAAGTTATTATAGTTCCCTATGAGTTTGGGCAAAACAGACACATCATGAAATAAGAAGTTGGTGTTACAAAAAATTCAGCATTGAACTCTGTAACAAGGTGAGTTGCTTCAAGGCCTCTGAGCCCAGGACTTCCTGTTTGTTCAAGATCATCTTGCTGTCTGGATCCTCTGCAGAGTGCCTTAGAGTTGCTTCTTTTTCCGACTTGGGATTCAAAGCATAGATCATTTTGCAAAAGATCCAACAAGAGTCAAGAATCTTTAGTGACATTCAGGCCCCAGTGAAGTCAGTCAAAGTTTTACCATAGACTTTTAGGACTGGAAGTGGTCTTAAAGGTCATCTAGCCCAACCCCTGCAGAATTCACTGTTCCAAATTATTCCAGATAGATGCCTCTTTTGAAAACTTCCAAATATAGAACATGCCATAGCTTTGCTAGGCTGTTTATTCTATTGTCCTATGGTCCTTACAATTAGGAATTTTTCCTGAAATTAAATTTCAAATTTACTCTGTTGTAGTTTAAGATCATTGTCTTGTGTCTACTTTCCAATGCCGAAGGAAACTATTTTTTTCCTCGATCTTCTGTACATCAACTTTCAAATGTTTAAAAAGCAGTTATGTCCCTGTTCACTCTCCCTTGCTTCAAACAAAACATATACACTTCCCTCAATCTTTTTTCCTCTGGCTTTTATTTCAATTCTTTTGTCATC